GGAGCCTAATACAACAACAACAAGTCATGTGCTGCGAGCTGGCGACCTATTTTACCCTGGTTGCCAATTGTTTAGCCAAAGTCGGGCTGGTCGGTTAAACCAATGCTCTGTCCAGCGGATGTTTAACGCATCCTGACTTGTAAGTAACTTCTAACCGGCGAAGTTCAAAAGCTCATCTGCGTGAACAAGGTTGAAAACATCCTGGCTAAGCAAGTGATGCGTTACAGGTACACCTGAATAACTACTGACCTTCGTAAGTAACGTGGTTCAAAATACGACAATAACACAATTCTGGAGTATATCAGAGGTTACAGCTACACAACATACTGAGTACAGCAAATGGCCACAATGTGACTGGGAACGCTAGCAAGGCAGGTATCTTGCAGAGAAGAGACAACATGAAGGTTATGTAACAACTGATACGTACGCTAAGTCGCAGGTACCATTTAGGATAACGTACAGTGCTATGACGAAAAGTACGAGTCTAGATAAGTCAGTAAGAACTAAGGTAGCGCGATGTCGTATGAGATGAGAAAACATAACTAACGTTCTACAATCCAGGTGTTCTCGGGTTAGTCATGGGAGGGTTGGGTGGGAATGTGACCGTACAGAGAAAGGTTGAGCCACGAATGACCCTTACGAGGGTTAGGGAGGAAGGGTCAGAGGGTAAAGGGGCGGAATAATTAGTATCAGGGTAGGGGTCACGTGATTGTCTGTTCAGCCGACGGGAAACGAGATGTTACAGGAGAAGACTATCTTGACCTTGAGGTAGCTGATGATGAAGAGACTCCTGCCTTTGCAGAAGAAAATGATCTCGACCTCCGGGATATTGGCACGTATTGTCTTGCTTGAAGAATATAACATTATAGTTCTGCTCGTATCAAGGTATCCTCTCCCCATAGCTATTTGTACAGTTTTTTTTAGTTCTTTGCTGTAACTGCTGTGGTTATAATGTTGGACATACACTCCTTTTAAAGGCATTTTGTGTAGAGCTATCTTCTGCTGAAGTTGATTAGAGGTATCCTATAATGCAAAAGACTCTAGCGTAGGCAACCATGCTTTGCTTCCGGTTGCATCTCAAGAACAGGTACAAACTGATACATTAAGCTACGGTCACAACCCGCCGTACGTGCTTTTTCTCCGTACGTTGTTTGGGAGGCTACGTCTGCTACGTTTTTTCTAAAAAAACGTGGGGAAGGAGTGGCGTCTACGCACGTCACTCGCACGGTTGGACAAAGTGTAAGAGTGTGGTCTGCACGCCACGTCTGGCCGTGAGCGGTTGCGTGCATCGTACGTGAGTTGTACGTGCTTACAACGTACGATCTCCGTGCGATTGCAATTTTACCGCAAGGAGGCCGTACTCACACGTGCTTCTTCCGCACGGCGCGTACGGGGCACGCGCGTCGCTCGTACTCGCACGCACGGGTGGTGAATCCGCAGACCGCACGTAGAAAATGTTTTACATGCACTTAAAGTTCTACGGCGTGTCTGCGTGCTCCCAAATCCGTAGGATTCCGTACGGAGGCGGTACTCACCACGCACGGATGCCCTACGTTTGCCCATGTTTTTGCACGTAGACAGCACGCAGAAGCACGTACGGCGGGTTGTGACCGTAGCTTTAAAGAGAGAAATTAGGATGAATTTAAAGTAACAGCACAGTGACTCGATACTCTACTTACAGGAAGATATACTATTATAAAAGAGGTTGTAGCCTGAACAATGATACCAGCAGAGATGTATTGTGTTACTGTAATGTTGTAACAAACTTTAACATGCTCTACTTCAGGTACATGCAAGGACGGTTATCAACTGAAGTACAGGAAGTGCTACAAAGCATTTAGCATTCGAAAAACCTGGACTGACGCATCTGCCTACTGCAAAAATCAGGGGGCAGGTGGAAATCTTGCAATGCCAAAAGACAGAAACATTAACAGTTTCTTGATTCAGTTAAAAAATGCTAAATCCTCTCAATGGCGATTTTGGTTTGGATTGAATGATAGGCAGAGCGAAGGGAAATGGAAATGGAATGATGGCACGTCTCTCGGGTCTTACAATTACTGGTCACCAATTGAGCCAAATAACGGGGGTAAAAATTGGTGGGGCCAGTACAAGAATCCTGAAGACTGTGCAGAGTATTTTCGGAAAAATTGGAGAAACAGCAACTGGAACGATGCCCCATGTCACATGCTGAGATACTTCATCTGTGAGAGGTCCCCCAACGGTGAGTGTACAAAATAGGAACAATACAACTTTCTTTTTATCAGATATTATGACAAGCAGTGAATACCATGATAAAGAATACTGAACAATTTGCAGAAATAGTACTGTACTGTACTGCGAAAATCAAATCCAAAACAACAATTAGGAGATCTCATACCTCCATGAAATATGTAGAGTTTTTATAAATGTTTGTTATTACAGGATTTGTCTTATTGATTATTGAAATAAGGTCATAAATACCATATTTCGTTTAAATTGATGGTTTTCTACACAACACTATTTTGGATGTGAAATACCGATCAATGTTTCATATCAACATGTCCTCAGCAATTGTGCAAATAACCTCTATATTAACGTAATGTATACATAATGTTAATCTTTAAACGTATTATCCTTTGACAAAAGTAAAATTTGTAAAACTCTTGTATGTTTTTAATGTTTTTTGTCTATCTATTCATTAAATATACAGTTAAGAAATGGCGTAAAGACTACCGCTGTGGAGGCAGTTACACTACAGCAGGCGGGATTAGAGCTGAGTGTAACCCTGGCGGTCATGCCCCGTGCTGCTCTCCTCACAACTGGTGTGGGAGCACTGCAGCTCACTGTAACTGTGCGGGCTGTGTCGACTACCGTAACACAGGTTGGTACTTAATGATTTATGAAAGTGTATTTGTGTACGTTTTGTGTAAGTGTAATTTCTTCAACATTCTTTACTACGGTTTGTTTATTAAATGCATTGTTATATCATCCTCACGAAATATTCATTGCATTTTGTTTGCACTTTTTCAACACATTATCTAAGCACAAGTATTGTCCAAAAGACCAAAATTGTCATTAGAATAGGTAAAATTTTCTCATTTGTGTTGCACTTGCATTAATGGCCACTATTTCAATTTGACAGGAAAGTAGTGCGGCCACACCAGTTCCGGACAGTATGGAGAATCGTCCCGAGGATACAGTTCTATTTTGCTTGCGGCTTTACTGGTATATCCATCTTTGCATGTTCCTTTTAACTTAGTGTATCAATTTTCATGTACTGTCTTAACAGAAACTTGATTTTATGAATGACATCTGCAAGGTTTTTCATTGCTTTTTACAATAATGAATGATGCCACGTTTACACAGACACCATCCCCAACCCCTAAATGCAAACAAAGAGAAAAAGGTAGTTATCTTTTTTCC